TTTTTTTGTTTTTTCTATATCTGCTTTATTTATTTATTTATTTATTTATTTTTTTTTTTTGATTTTGAATATATTTCTAAATAATTTTTGTAATTTTATTCTATATATTATTTCTATTAATTTCTGATTTTCTAATATACTTTGCATTTGAATTTTTCTTTCACAGAATTAAATTTATTCCTATTTATTCTCTGTTGTGCCATATTCCTACAAACAACGGAAGCCATACCGGTAGCAGTGCCAGTACCGATACCAATACCTGTTGCTGTACTTCATGGTACTTCGAATTCTGGTCACCATATTATATTACAAACGCCTGTTTATTGGCCCCGTTATTATCAGACGACATTACAAGTTACCCAGCCGCAACAACAACAACAACAACAACAACAACATCAACAGTTACAACAGCAACAACAAAAACAACAACAACAACAGCCTTTAACGCAGCATCATATTATCTTTCATCATCATTTGCAATATCATCATTTGCATCAACGCGCCGTTAATAATCCGGACAAAATGAATTATTGCACCGATGAAATGATTTTTAAGAATATACGTAAACAAATGGGTTCATCTCTGCAATACATTAGAAATCTATTCGATGAATATGTAAGTATTACACTGTACGTTGTATTCCTCTCTACGAATTAATACAAATTTATTTTGCCTTTATTGAGAGCATAGAGATGAGTAATTGAGTAGCAGTAATTAACTCTCATCTCTTATTTACATAAATTGCTTTAGCTAGCGCCTGTGTTATGCTTGCAATGAATGCTGGCTTTATAGGATTTTCGAAAACTATTCCTTTTAATTTTTTTTTTCCCAAGGGCATGAGGATGAAAGCAAAGGTTTATTATATACATATAAAGAATAACTTTTTCATCAATTGTTGGTTTTTCTGTGGAAAAAATTTGCAATACTTGAATAGTAATTGCTTAAGGGGATTTTCTCTGTGCTTTGAAATTTTAACGAGCGTTTAGAAATACGCGGGTATTTCACCTTAAGCACACTCACGATTTTTCCACCCATCATGAACGAAATGCAGATATACTCGTTCTGTGGTTTCGTTTGCAACACTTGAACGACATCCAGTGAAGATCCACAGTTCCGATAAAATTTAAAGCATATTAAAATATTTAGATGACACTTAGAGATGCATCTTGCTTTGATCACAAAGGCATTGACATTTATATAAGATCATGAAATATAGAAAGACGCAATATTTTCAAAAATGGAACGATTCATTTGAGTATAATCTGAGTCCTTTAGGCACACGGTCAGCCCTTTTGGCAGTATATTGTTGCAACTGTTTATATAACAATAATTAAGACAAAATTAAACGAAATTTTTCCCATACAAGTCTTAAATCGATCAAGTTTGAAGAAGTTCAGTATTTTTTCGCTTCAAAATATTACAACAAAAACCAACAATCAATGATAGTAGGCCTTCACGGAAGTCACAATCATTTCTTCATTCGTTCAATATTTATTTGAGAGCTATCTTCTTCCCATTAGGCTCACTATTTTTTAGATGAACTACATGTATTAATGAATATTAAAAAAAAAAAAAATACCCTCATCACTTGTTTTTTTTTTTCTTCTATTAACCGATTTTCTATCATTTGTAACATTTCAGTTAAGATCACGTGAAGGCAAAACTTATGAAGAAATGTTGGAATTGTGGAGATTACATGATCTGGAAATTCGTTATCCACAACGAAAAGTTATTAAAACGGACAATGAGGTAAACGAGAAACTTTTCTGTTTGTTCTCATCATCCCGCCTTCCTATTTCAGTTTTTTTCTTTTTTATCTCTCTTTCTCTTTGTCTCATTTCGTCCATCTGTTTCTATCTTCATATGTCCTTTTAAAGATTTATTATATTAATTAATGAATATTTTATGTTAATTTTTTTTTTTTTTTTGTTTTTTTTAACTTAGCTCCATACCGAAGTACTTAAGTTTTATTTAAATCTGCATACGTTCGAGCAGCTAATAGCCGATGTTATCGCCGATGTTAATGTAAATAAAACGAATATTGAACATGGTGAAGAGTATTCGGCTAAAAAAATTATACAATTCTTTGATAAACTTAAAAAAGAAGTCCGTTTTAATATTCAGGAAGCGGAAACTGTATTACAAGATCTCACCATTGAAAAGCCTAACTTGGAGGAGAATATCGTCGATTACAATAAAACGGTTAATAGAAATACGCGGGATTTCTTAATAGTTCACAAATTGATTGAAGAAATTAAACATGTTTATGAATTGGTTGAACTATACTGTAACAATAATAATAATAATAACAACAACAACAATAACAGTCATAACAGCAACACTGATGAATAGATGGCTAAGGGCAAATAAAAAAGAAGCCTAAGAAACATTATTTTAAATTATATTAGATAAGTATTAGAAAACCAATCCAATCCATCCCAAAATATTGAAAAAAAAAAAGCTAAATAAATAAATCTATAATAAACCTATGTATATATATATATATATATATATATATTTATATTTATATATATATATATACATATATATACCATGTAATCAACCCGGCAGAGACAAATCGAAAAGATAATATATTTTGTCTACAATTAAGAAATGTTGATGTTTTAAAGAAATCAAACGCAAATGAATTGCAAAACTGGTTTCATTGTAATACTTAATAATAATAACGATGATTATGTACTTGTATTAATAGATATTTATATCCTGAACATAACATATAAACAGGTAACGATTTATACATATAAACTGTTATTCATTTTATGACTACCCACACTATGAAGCTTCATGCGAACATCACTTAACAAGCATACAAACGTGCAACAAACACCTTAACCCTGCCAATCGTCTAATCTATTCCCAAATCCTCTTAATATCCAGTCACTTTTCACCTCTCCATCTACCTATCCTATCGTCTTATATCCAATCAATCATCTTCAACTCCTTTCTATTCTGGTATAATTTCAGCTTCTTATCAACATCTTTGTAGCGACATAATATCATTTTCATTTGTTGAATCGTCTTCGATTTCATACCTTAAGTCTATTGGCTATCGTCTCGATCATTTCGTTATCCTATTTGCTCTATCATTCCCACTTTTCTAGTATATCTACCCTTTCCTCATCACCAATGCTCCCCTCGGTTTGTACTTTTTGCCTTATGACGTTTTCGCGTTTTCCACTGCTTACCTTTTTTCAAAAAACTTAGTTTCTTTTTTTTTTTTTTTTTTTTTGACACATTCTTCTCTTATCTGTACTCTTCATCTCCCGTAATAATAATATAATAATTCAAGGTTTTGTGAAATCGCAAAAAAAATAAAAAAAAAATAAATAAAAAAAATATCTCTTCGATACATTCTATGATTTATTTTGTAAATGATATTTGCATGTTTTCGTCGCGTTCGCTTCCACTCTATATCACTGTCATCTACGTCATCGAATATTAAGTGAACGTAACATAACGAACAGGACTCGTTTTTTATATTGTCTTTTACTCCTTCAAGTCACACATGAATAATCACTCATTTATTATTAATCGTACTTAATAATCATTTCGATGAAATACATTCACGTTAATGATATGATGATGATAATATTATTAAAAATGTTTATGTTGTCAGCAATTTAAGAATGATCAAACGATTTTGATTAGTGTGTAACAACGATAATTATTATTATTATTATTATTATTACAATTATTATTTTTTAATTAGACAGATAAACTATTTAATTTATTGCAATTATTTATATAAAATACTTTAAATTATTTGATTTGAGAGTATATTTTTTATTATTATTATTATTATTATTATTTTTATTTTATATCTTGTGTTCTTTTAGCTAAGTTTTTGTTTTCTCCTTAATATTATTTATTTGCCTTCAGATAATCGTTAGTTCAATTTTATGAACTTTGCTTAAGAGGCCAATAATTCTACAATATTCGTATAAAAAACACGCGCTTTATTTAATTCTCATCTTTGATTGAGAATTCCATTTCTATTTAGATTTTTGCATTCATTCCTTCATTCATTCACGCACACATACATTCATTTAATCCATTTTACTATAATAATATTATAATAATCTATAAATAATACATATGTCTGTAATAAAACATTGACTAAATACATATTAAGATAACTAAACTAGATATATAAATAGTAAAACAAAACAAAATCACAACAACAAAATTTATGATATAATAATAAATAGATCAATAAAAGCATTTAGAAAAGTTTTATTTGTTGTCGTTTCATTTAGCCGCAGTCCGCACCTATTATATATTATATATATATATATATATATATATATATATATATCTCGCCTTTTATCCTAATCTATTCTTATATAATTAATTATTATGTTAATTATGGTCAGCTTATGCCCTTGAAGTGTGACGCCTCTCTGCCTTGCATCTGGTTACTTGAATGGATCAATGAATCAATTTACGCCGAAGAAAGGGTCAAATCTTGTGCCTATTTTTTGATAAGCATAACATTCGATTAGTGTCCGTCTTTCTGTCCTAACGATTGCAAAGCTTGAAATAGGGAGTTCAAAGCTTAGCACTTTTACTTTTTCTTGATAAATGAAGATTAAGTTTGAAAGGGGGGTGCAATCTGCCACCAAATAAACAGACAATAATCAAATGATCATGACTTACAATTTATGAATATTCCGCATATATTAATTTAAAAATTGTTACAAGCTTTGATAATTAACAAAATTTTCAAGTTTACAAGACGATTTCAGATATCGAATCGATTTATTTTAACTTCATTATGGATTCTCCAAGTCAAGTCTCTCTTGCCATATAGCCGACTTGGAGCGCGCAATATTTGATATTCATTCAATATATCGAACCAAGATATGTCGAGATATACAATAATGAGCGATGTTAAGCGTAGGTTGCATTCGCCTGATTATGTGCAGTTTTACGCTGAATTTTTAAATATCCATAGATGTATATTAAAAATATTTGTATTTTCCGCGCTCAATATCTTCCGTTCGCGATATATTTACACATTAATATATTTGCTTATTTGTTTTTGTGTAACATATGTTGCAAGTCTTAACATTTTATAGTTCAAGTTGAGCAACAGATAGAAGGAAAACGAACTTGAATTGCTTAGGTGGGATACTTACAGATGCTTTTTGCTTGTCGTTGTACACCTTCGACGCGTAAAATCGAATTGAGATGAGCTTAGAATTAATTTTGGATTCTTTATGTTTTGCTTGTCCCCTCGGGCAATGCAAAGCATGAAAGCAATACCGTTAGGTTATTTGAGATGTTTTGCATAACAATAACGGTTGTTTGGATTTATACACGAATAATATACGATATTATAGCGCCTGTGTGAAGTGCTTAAAATAAGCACTTGTAAGGTTTTTCTTTTTTTTTTTTTTTTTTTTTTTTGGGACTCAAACATATATCGATGGCATTGTTAACAAATTTAAATATGAAAGCTAATTTTTTGCGGTTGTTGTGAAAGGGTGAAAAAATTTATTGTTATTTATTTAAAAATTTTAAAGAATATGTTACGAATACGCTTGCATTGAATCAAATTAATATTGCGCATGCGTCCTATTTTCTTCTTTTTCCCCCCCAAATGAATTCATTTTATGGCCAAGAAGATGTCGTTTCGTTTCTTTGTTAGTCGACTATATATACCTATGTAAATAACGTCTTATGTATTATTTTTGTTTCGAGTCGTGTTTTTTTTTTTTTTTTTTTTTTGCAATATTTTCTCAATGAAATATTGTTATTTCTGTAGTTTCTCTCACAAAAGAGAGCATTTGGATATCTCTTTGAGAATTTCATTAATATGAATTTCTCTTGATATGTTCAACAAATATTTATTGTTTATTTGTATGCGTATACATGCTTGTACAAACAGAATATATGATAATACATATACATATATATATGATTTGATATATAAGCACACATATATAAAGGTAATGAGTGATTTTTTCATATATTAAATAATTGACCAATCGTGAACTTCAATTAAACTAATACTAATACAATTTATGCAATCAAGGAACGCCCTCGTGCTTTTATGTGCGTGTGTATATTAAAATGAAAGAGAAAAGGAGCACGCTCTTAAATTAAATCTCTCTTTAACAATACTCAGCGTTATGCGATTGTACACACACACACACACATATATATATATATATATATATATGAAAGTATTTCACAACATCTGATGCTATCCCATTTCGTTGTAAGATAAATTGCATGGGATTTTTTCTCAAACGTATTTCGCAAGGTTTTGATATTTAAAAGTTACTTAAATTGTATTTACACTGATTTTTATCTGGATTGGAAACTTGCGAGAAAAATCCCCCAACGTTGAGATTCTTGTTGTTTTCTGACGTAAACTTTAAGTTATTTATTAATAATAATACATGATTTCTTCATACCCACTAGCAGCCGGTTATATCTACTTCACTATTTCACATTTTTGTAACATAGAGAAATACCCATCAAAAACTGCTTATATGCATTCTTGATAAGCGTAAAATTGAATTACGTACGTCTAACAGTCAACTTGTCGCTTGATATGTTTGTGCCATTTTTCTTTCTCAAATGACGCATTATAAGTAAAATAAAAAAAAAAAATAGAGAGAGTACGTACGTACGTCCTCGTTACATCAAAAAGACCAAAATTCCAATTCCACCAATTTTCCATATAAGTCAATTTTTCCAACAAAACTAACCTCCATTAGTTGGTTGATATTCATTATTTTCCGGATTGGATTCGTAATTTGTTAGGTACGTAGACCAGCTTTATCGACAATATGTCGCTAAATTCGAGATTTTGAGAAATTTGTCGAAAAGTCAAAATTGATGTACGAACGAGTTTGTAATGGCGCGGTGAGAGAGAGACCGAGAGATACAGAGAGAGCGCTGTCTTCTTTTTGTTTCGCTTCTTGATAAAAATCAGCAAAGAAGAGAAACTAAACTATACGACTTATTCGATATTTGAAAATATCCTACACCACTTTTCGACATATAAGGATATGTTAACTTTGTGCCAATGCATGCAGTGTTTTAAGGACTTGAGACGAGTTCACCTTTTGAGCTTGTCTGTCCGTCTGTCCATCTGTAGCTAGTGGTGGGTTACAGCCAATAATTCTTTTTTACTTGTTCTTATAATAAGTTTCTCTTTAAACGCTTAAGAAATATTTAATATTAAGTCACCATAGCATAGATACAATCGCTTCTTAATTCAAATGATAGCATGTTCTACCCACATTCCATAGAAGTCGATTGCGCAAATAAAAAAGAGTTATATTCTATTTTGCGGCTAACCTTAGATGCCTACCATTACCTTAAAGAATTTGTCGTTTTCTTACGAATATGTCATTGGGATGATCGGCGTATTTTCTGTCTTAGATCTAAACAATATCGAACTTAATAATAGATGTAACTTCTTTGATTTCTATTACAAAAAATTCGATCTGCACATGTCGATCAA